CAGTGAAGTCACAAGCTGTGTGAGCTTGACAAGTTATTTAACCTCTCTGAGCCTCAGCTTCTCATTCCCGAAAGAGTGGCTGTCCCTATATCCACAGACAGATAAAACAGAGATTGAATGAGTTCAGTGATGTAAAATGCCTAATATAATACCCAACACACAGCAGGTGTACAATAAATGTGAGATAACACCATCATCATCATCAGTCGTATTAAGTGGTTCTTACTGCCAAAGGATGATGCCTTCTGCCATTCACGCATTTCTAGCAATCTGCCTCAGGACCTGTTACAAGCAGTACGCAATAGTGGAAACGGTGGGCTGCACAGTCAAAGAGCCTTTACCTTGAGCAAATCTTAACATCAGTTTCTTCAATTATAAAGTGAAGATAATTATGTCTTTCTCACTAGATCGGGACAAAGATTACCGATATATCTTAAAAAGCACCTGCTACATAAGAGCTCTCTATACCTGGGCTGTTTTCACTTTACTCCAAGGGGGCTTATCTAGTCACTGGCCTCAACATGCCTTTCTTTTCCTCTCTGCCCCCATGTATTTGTTCAGCCCGCTTGTCCCTGCCTGCCCTGCCCTGTTACCATCTCCATCTCTGGAAGCTTCCATGAATCTTTCTAGGTTCGGTTCCATCTGAAAGCTTTTGTGAAGCTTTCTTTGACCACAATGGTTTTTCCCACCTCTGAACTCATAAAGTATTTACCTTCTGTGCAGAAATAAGAGGCAGAAAACCCAGAAGATCCCAAGATATCTCCTCTGTGGTCGCTGTTAGGCTGACCAGAACTAAGTCAGGCAAGAACATGCAGAGAGAACTCCAGCTGCCAACAGCAGCTTCCCGGTGGACTCTCCTCAAGCTCCATGGCCTATAATGTCTATGTCATCTAGGAAGGGTCACTTGCCCTTCCGAAAGTCAACCCCCTGATGCCTTATTCAGGAGTGTCTCATAACAGAAAATGGTTAATTGGTTCACTGATAAATTAAGGCACAGTGGGGCTTCCAGCATGTGGATAGGCTGGTGTACCACTGGATACATCAGCTGACATCCACATGAGCTGCCACTGTTTCTATCTCCCCAGGGGCCTGACTCCAGCTGCTCCTACATCCATTCGATGCAAATCAGATTGTGCCATTCCCCACTGTAAATGCTGGATGGTCTGAGCAGAGCTGCTAGAGAATACAGCCAACTCCTTAGCATCTCATCCAGGACCCTTCACAATCTGACCCCAACTCCCCATTTAGGCTCTTCTTTTGTGGCAGTCACCTCATGCCTCTCGCTGTTCCCCAAGCCCACCATCACCTTCCCTGCCTCCTAGTCTCCCCTCAACTTGGGATGTCCTTTTCCAACTTCTTTACCTAATGAATCCTACTCATGCTTTAAAACCCAGCTCAGATGTTGCCCACTGGGAAGAATCCCGCCAGACGCTCGCTGGCAGAATTCATTCCCCAGCTCTCTCGTTGGCCTTCTATTATGGAGTCCTTCATGTGGGACCGCCAGTATGCTTACTCCTCGCTCCCCCACAAGACCAGAAGCATTATGAGGTCAAAAGTGATTTATAGCCCCTGTGTCTGCCCAGCATGGTGCCTGTTAACCAATACGTTTTGTTTAATGAATTGAGGAAAGAAAACAGAAATAAATGAATGAATCAGGCTGTTTCTAACAAAAGACCATTCTTCCCAGCCTTCCCCCTCCACAAGGGCAAGTTACTCTTGGTAGGTACACATTGGTGAAGGACTACACATGGCAAGAGTCATGTTTGCGAAGGTAGGCACTCATGGGCTTGGGAGAGGGAAGTGCTTGTGTTCAAAATAACAGCTTCCCTAGAGGACAGTAAGTCACAGGGGTCTTTCTTTTCTGTATTTCTTGTTTCCACCCTCATCTACTCTTGTACAGGTCTGATTTCCAATGAAATTTGGTGATATTTTTTTTAATTTCCTCATTACTTTTTAATATGCTAAGTAGCTATAATCCCAGGTGTGAAAAGTCCCAGCCCAGTGGCTGCTGCTGCTCTTTGAAGCACCATCCCCAGGATTCTTCCTTCTGGTAATTACCGAGCAATCCATTTTCACCTCTAGGCCTGTGGAAAGGATTCCTGCGTGCCTGTTTATTTTCTGGCTAATTTAGTTCCTTTACATCATATGACTTTCGATGACCCACATGCAATATGGGAATTATCGTCGTAGGACTTCCTTTAGATGATTCACGGAGGTGTGCTAAGCAGAGGTGATATATCAATTTTTAAATCCAGGCAGAATTAGTTCATATCATATGTCCCAGGAAAGCCTATAACGCAGTTTTATAAAGGGAACTGAAGAGCTTCTTGATCTTTGCCATTTTCTAGAGGAAAATGCCTCACCAAGTACATTCTTTCTTATGCATTTTGTAGTGGGACATGTATGGGGTCAGAGAAAGACACTAAAAACTTGCCCTAGCTGTTTAGCTCATTATTTATTAACTGCTTAATATAGACCAGAAGCTGTGTCAAGGCTTTTACATACCTTGTTTAACATTCCCACAACCCCTGGGAGGTTTTTATTCTGGTTCTGCAGAGGAGGAGCCTAAAGCAGAGAGGTTGATAACTTATCCAAGGTCACATGGCTCATGGGTGCCAGAGTAAGTTTCTGAGGTCCAGTTCACTGGCTCTGAGGCCTGAAGATGTAACTGTTACACTAGGCTCCATGGCTTGTGCCCTGACTTCTTGTTCAAGAGTTTTCCCAACATGTATAATTCCTAGACAGCTCTCATAAGAGCTTACTCCCTTTGGCATTTTACTCTATATTCATATAATCTTCTCATTTAAAAAAAAAAAAACTATAATAGTCTACGGCCATGCCACTCTGAACAAACCCAATCCCATCTGATCTCAGAAGCTAAGCAGGGTCAGGCCTGGTTAGTACTTGGATGGGAGATCACCTAGGAAGACCAGATGCTGTAGGCGTAAAAAATAAAAAAAATAAGAGATTGTAAGCTGACAAGGTCCTTGCAATTGTGAAGTCAACCAAAGGTTGCCTCACCTAATAAAAAATAAATAAAAATAAAATAAAAAATACTATAATAATTACTCAAAATTATAGTTCAAGTTTTCATCATGTACAGACATACAGATCTTTTCTAAAGTTTCATAAATAAAATGCCTCATGGGGAAAAGATTATTTGTGTCCTCTTGACCCACATTTTTAGATTTTTGTATAAAACATCTTCAGTGGGTGCAAAATGACCAACTTCCTTTGCCACTGGAAACAGACAATGGCATTCTGTGTGTTGCTGTCCATAACCGGACAGATGTGTTTCGCAAGGGCGCTTATTTGGTCCTCATTATTATCTCATGAGGTAACGAATGATTACCTCATTTTGGTAATCATTTATTAAGCACGCCCTCTACGTGAAGCAGGTGCTGGGCAGTATCTGGAAATGGAGGAAGAAGACATAGTCCTGGGTCTGCAGGAGCTCACAGCCCAGGAGCTCACCCTTCGAGGAAGTCATAGCCCACAGACTGACCTTAGCATTAGTTCCAACAATGCCAATAAGGTGAGAAGTTCAAGAGAGAAAGAAATCACGACCAACTTGGAAAATATCAACTTGCTTTGTTAGAAAAGGCCCTTGAAGGCCAATTTCTCATCTCCCGGAACTTTTATTAGTGCTTATTAACCAGTATTGAGAGGACCAGGCCAAGGGTAAAGCTAAGGAGGAAGAAGCCACAAGTTAATTGCAAAGGACCAAGCTAAAGAAACGTGTGGGTTGCCTCTGAGTATCCAACATCCTGACTGAAAAGATTAATTTTTATTTCCAATGGATATTAAAACAGGCAACATATGAATATGCGCAAACAAATTGACGGTCAAGCAACCCAAAGTGTTAGGCAGTGAGCTTCCCTTCCAGCCTCGGAGGCAGCCTCTCCTACCTGGTTCTTGAGCTCCCTCAAAAGAGAGTTCTGTGCATTTATAATAGATACGGTTTATAATGCCTTCAGCTTCTAGGCCTCTCAGGACTAGTTAGGTGGCCCATCCCCAAGGCCTGGCCACAGGAATGGGTCAGAAAAGTGGGGAATGAAGAGTTAAATCAGGGAGAACTGCTCCAGGCTAGGTGAACTCAGGGGCAAGCCCTGTTGACCACCTGCTACGTGCTGGAACTGAGGATGGGCCAGGAGCCAGGGCCTCCACCCTCACGTTCCCTGCACAACTTTCCTAGGCACTCCCCATCTTTTAGAGAGATGCAACATATGTAGTAGGCATAGGAGGCAAATAGGGGAGAGATTCTGAAAAATTCCAAGGTTTTAAATACTTACAAGGCAGGTTGGGCCAATCACGCTATAGGACTTCCTTGCTGGGCTGCTGGGGAGGGTGCTACCTTGTGGGGCCCTGGGCGGTGCCTTGGTGGTGAGGAGAGACGCTTTTAAATGTCTGCCTTCCTAAAACCACTCTCCCTGCATCTCAGAAGCACTCAGCTAATGTGTATCCTCCAGGACAGTAAATCCAGTTATTTGTCTCCCTATTCTGTGATATATTTATAAAGTAATGAATGGTCCATTAAACTAAGTTTGGGCGTCGGTCTGCCCACAGCCACCTCCTCGTGAGCACCCTCAGCAGGGGGCTGTTGATGTGGGCTGCAGCCTTCCAGCCTCAATTCCCCTCCCTCCACCACCTCCCCTCCTTCCCACCCTCTCCTGCCCCTCCCTCGGTTATTTGGGAGATTAGAGTTCATTAATTAAATCCTGCGCTTAGATCGAACTGTAACATTATTCCAATCACATTTATCTTGCAGGCGGCGGAGGAGATGGCAGCTTCGTTGGAAACGCGCGGGGGAGCCTGAGCTGGCAGCTGGAGACGCACAGCGCCGCGCGCTCCATCGCCGCGCCGCCGCGCAGACCCTCCATCTTCCTGCTCAACCTCCAGACCCCGCTCGCCCGGGCCTTGTGAGGGGGGGGCGGGTCTGGCTAATCTCTGGGGACCCGGTCCGCCCCCACCCCCACCCCAAGCCTCCACGGCTCCCCCGCCACACACGCTGACACGCGCGTGCGAACACACACACACTCACACACACAGACACGCCAGCGAGCTGCTGGTCGCTCAATGGACCGATTTCCCCGCTCTCCCTGATCCCAGCCCAGCCCGGCATGAGAAATTGCAAAATGGCCCGGGTCGCCAGTGTGCTGGGGTTGGTCATGCTCAGCATCGCCCTTCTGATTTTATCGCTCATCAGCTACGTGTCCCTGAAAAAAGAGAACATCTTCACCACTTCCAAGTACGCCAGCCCGGGGGCGCCCCGAATGTACATGTTCCACGCGGGATTCCGGTGAGTGCGGGCCTCTGAGTGCCCTCGGGCATCTGGTTTATGATAGGGGGCGGTGGGAGGGAGGTGTTTGGACTTCTACGAGACACTTTGGGCAACATAACTGCGTGGTCTTTC